AGCCATGACCGGCCAGGCCGTTCCCACCCTAAGGCCATCCCTCCCCCACAAACCCCAATGGATGGCCTCTGGGTTGGGCGCTTTCCCCCCTGCCTGTGCTTCCCTGTCTGTTCCCCAAGCATCCTGTCTGAGCTTTGCTTAATGACGGTCGTGAAGGCATGTCTTCTATAAAATGCTCCAGTCCTCCTCCTGAGCCACCTACGTTTGTGCCATTCGATGGTTGCCCAGGGCATGCCGGACGTCGCCACACCAGCTGACGACGCTGTAGCAGGCCCAGATCCGGGTTTTGATCCAATTCCGAGGGAAGGACCGGATCCGAATTCAGATCCAGGTCCAGGCCCGGAGTTAGGTTCCGGAGCAGGTTCCAACATTGCGCAAATCACCACCCTGCCCAGGTTGCTGTTGTCGTTCCTGACGTTCGGCTGCACGTGGTGGTGCTGTGGCGGAGAAGAGGAGGGGGAGGAGGAGGAGGAGGAGGAGGAGGAGATCAGCGCAAGGGAGGAGACTGCGAGGACGAACATCAACACGCCTCTGCTACACCGCCTTCCCAGACCCCCTTTTTCTCTCACCGCCCCCCTCTCTCTATCTTTCTACCTATCCTGCTTCCCAAACACCCCCAAGATCTCCCATTCCCCCTCATCCCCCTCCTCCTGCAATTCCCCCCCCCCTTCACCTGGCTGCCCCGGGACTGTAGCAGGTAGCCCGGCAGCTGCGCCGGAGCCTTTCCGTCTTCGGAGCGGCCCTTGGAACCGCCCTCAGCGACCCACCCCTCAGGTCGCCGCCGCCAGGTATTCCGCCGCCAGCGACCTCAGTGTGCGCTTTCCCAGCTCGTGCTTTTGCAGCTCGTCCCAAAGGCACTCTTGCGAGATGCGGTGCAGAGAGCGAAGAGCCTCCGTGACGGCGTCTTCGAAGTAGCGAACTGGGGTGGCGTCATCGCGGCGCGCCGACTGTAATGCAACTCGTCGTACGTCCCACAGGGCCGTGTCCCCCATGTCGGCCGTCGCGGCGCGGAAGTCCGCTTCGTTCATCTTTATAGGGCTCCCTGCGTGTGTTCCAGCGCGTGTTGAGTAGTGTCAGTTGGACCGGAGTAGGTGCGAGGAACTGCCCATGGACCATGGTGACTGCGGTACCTGTTGTGCACTACCAATGAGCCAGCGCAAGCAACAGCTGTCCAGAAAACATACAACGTTTGGATTGAGAAACCTTCATAACTGGGAATGACGTTATATGACGCGGCAGGAATAAAGAGGGAGAACGTTGCCGTCGAAGGCAAGTTAGGACCCTGGAATTTCGCTGGGACAGCCTAGAACGTGGAAAATAGAGGTAACGTGTATTTCGAAGCAGGCGATACGGTGCGACATATGACACCTTAGCCAGCAATCAGCCATATGATGGCGGGCCACGAACGGTGTGCTATAAGATCCCACTATAAGATTATGAGGACAAAATTAGGGCAGCTCAGCACAGACTCCTAAGATCTTTTGCATTGCACTTAGAGTGTGTGTTCGCTAACCTTCTATCAATTGGAAAGCGCACACTAGCTCCTTTTCGCACAAAAGGTCAGTGGAAGCCATTCAAGTTCATCAATGCAGCCATGTTTCAGAGAGAAATACTTTTGACGCGTGAATATCTCACAGGGAGCCAGCCCCAACAGGAAAATGTTACCCGCACAACCTTTTAGCCCGCTGCCTTGAAAAATCAGCTACACATTATCAATTACCTTATGTTCTAGTGCTGTAAAGTCCTCGAGCCAGCGCCTCTGGCAACTCCGATTAAAGCCGGCGTGCAAGACTGCCCTGTAGATGCAAAACACCTTCAGGCTTCAATAATTGTAAACGCGGAAAGCCAAACTATAATACTACAACGAGCGCATGTATCCCTACCCGCCACAAGAAAGCTTAAAGCTGCTCCCCGTAAGTTTGCAAGAAAGAGCGGTTTGCATCTAGCGCATTGTTAAACTCTTATAATGAAAGGCGATGCTTAGTATAATATTCTAGAGGTAGACCGTGCAGCCCTCTAATCTAAGAGGCACGAATCGCTGGGATAGGACGGTGTACGAGAGCCACAGCGAGCATCGCCTGCACGATTATGACATTTCTGAAGCATGCAAATAATTCTATTTCGCTATGATTGTCGTTGTAACAAAACCATAAGGTGAAACATACCTATTCCCTGACAGCCTGCCTCTATTCGTAAAACGATAGGGCAAAGCACCCGCCGGCAGCCATCCTTGGCAAGGCGCATCTTCAAAAGCTAACTCGAGATACTTCCACGCATAGCTTACTGATAAGAAACCCAGCCCTGCCCTATGTTTTGGTTAAAACTCTCCCCGTGCACGCAACGTACTGCTGTCGCCCCGGTTTTACTTGACGCATGTTTGCACAGTCAACGTTATGAACTGAGGCACCTCGGCGCTGGTGCTTAGTGAACCTCCTACCTTTCCCACTTGCTGCTCCCCGTCCCATTTCTTTCTTGTACACGAGCAGGAAATAATAGCACACTTCGAAAGGACGGACGAGCTGTCCACAGGATAGGCCAGTAAGGGCCGTGTTGTTCATTGCCATCAGGGGTGATCATCCCCCTGATCATCATCCAGAATCTCGTCTTCCAGATTCTTCAGGATTCGGTACAATAATCGCACAGGCAGTCCACACGGCCAGTGCCAGGTGCACTTGACGATACGTACGTACATGCGGGCTCGCTGGCGGTGCGTGCGACCGACGGCGGCCACCGAGGTGTTACACGAAGAGAGAGAAAGAGAGAGAGAGAGAGAGAGAGAGAGAGAGGAGGGAAGGGGAAAAGCGGGAGAGGGAGAGAGAGAGACGCTGCCCTGGTTGCTGCTCTGAGCTCCATTGCGGCGCCGGCGCCGCGTGCACCACCGCTTCACGACGCAGCAGCTGATGGCTGCAGCCGCATTCCGCTCGACAGCCGCTTCGCCACCTCATTCACGTCCCGGCTCCATTGCTCCTCCTCACGCTGCGCCAGGGCTTCCTGTCGTACATCGGGTTCCGAAATGACTATCGGCAAACAACGCGTCCATGAGGGCAGTGACCAGCTGCTCTTGCAACCCAGGCGGGGTAAGAGGGGAAAGCACAAGAGGAACCACACCGCTGGCAAACAACACATCTCCCCGGGGGGGGGAAGGCACCGGGGCCTACCGAAACACACTACTTTTCACACTCCGCCTGCTTCCCGCTGCCTGCCACATGTTGTTCTCGACCTCCAGCCAGTTTACCCTTAGCCTCCTCCCTCCCTAATCCACACCAACGCCCTCCCCCCTCACACACGCAACAGTTAATAACCCTTCACTCAATGACACAAAAACACAATCTTTCTTCTTTCCCCCCCCTTCCCCCCCCCCCCACACACAGACGCACCCGCAGTTTCGGCGTCAGGGAGGCGACCCTTTACTGCTTGCACATTGTGTCAGCACCTGGCCTCCCCCTTGGCCCCCATTATGAGGAGAGCTCAAACCCACCTTGAGGTCCCGCCGCACATGCTCCTCGTAGAACTGGGCCAGGTGGCGGATTTCGGCCATCAGCGAGGTGGAGCGCGCCATCAGGCGAGCCCGTGTCGTTGTCGTCGTCTGCATACCCCCCCCCCGCCACCGCCTCCCCCTCCGCCTCCATCTCCTCCTCCAGCTCCACCATGAGGGCCAGCAGGGACACGTAGCGGTGGTAGTCCGCGTCAAAGGTGGCCACGAAGTCGTCTAGCTCGGGGGCAAGCTGGGGAGGGGAGGGGAGGGAAAGAAGAACCACGAACGGGGAGGGGAGGGGAGGAGCGGGAGAGGAGAGGTGAAGGGGTAGAGGGAAAATGGAACAAAATGCAACGAACAAACTGACAACTGGCGGAGAGGTGAAGTGTGTGTGTGTGGGTGCGTGTGTGTGTGTGTGTGTGCATGTGTGCGCGGAGTCACCTGCAGGATTATGAATGGCTAGGGACGGCTGGGAGGTAGAGGG